GGGTGAAACAGGAGAGGTTTGCTGTGCCATGTTAGTGGCTCCCTGGCTGAGGATTGAACTCAAGCTTTAGGGGCTGCTAACAGCTTCATAGTGCTGAAACTTAAACCTTTGTGCTCCCAGGGAGGCCCCTGACTTTGTTTTTGGCACTGGAATCCATGCTGGGGGGTGGGGAGGGTTGAAAAAGAAACTGATCAAGTTAGCAAATCAGTAAACACTAACAGGTTGTGAAGGAAATAATCAGGTAGAATGTCTTGGAGGGTGTCTGGGATTGTAGAAGTATATGAGGACTCAATTTCAGTTTGCTGGCCTGAGAAGGCTTCTCTGAGCCAGTGTCCTTGCCAATTGCTGGGAAAGCTGTATGTGGGACTGTTACAGGGTAGTCCAGAGTGGACTGGGCCGCCTGTCTGTGGGGCCTCACCCGCAAGCTCACAACTCAGTTACACTGCAGGTACACACAAAAGGGTCAATAACAGGTTTATTTACAAAAGGGGAAAGGAATAGGAAACAACCCAGGGAAAGAGTGCAGGATACAAAGTAAATAGAATATCTTATGGCTAAGCTGACTGAACACACACCTAACACACACCAAGTCACGCAGTCCGGAGAGCTGTTTCCCGAGTGAGAGAGCATGAGATGCAATCGCGCCCTATTTTATTCCCCCAAATGTCCCAGAATCCCATTCCTGCTAGCTCCGCCCTTGGGTCCTCACAGTTCTCTCCCTGGTACTGTTGGGAGTTGTAGCTTCCAAATCACTGGAGTATGGTGTAGGGTACAGAAAGCTGGAGTAGGGGGTGGAGTCCATAAAACTGCAGAGTTCCTTTTGAACATCCTTCCCCTTAACAGGCCTGGAACTAGAAGTAGGTTTGGTTTCAGGAGTGGAAGAGTATCTTGAGCAGAAAACAAGGAGTCAAGTGATAGCAAGTAAAATTGGAGGATGGGCAAGCTTGATCTTGAGGGCCGTTGGAAACTTCTAAGTAAGGAAATGGCATGATCTTTGATTTGAGAGGACTACAGTGGTTTGTGACTTGGCAATGGAAAAGTCACCAGGCAATCGCTCATCAAATCCAGGGGGAGGATTCCTGCAGCACTCCAGCACCATATGAGGCTTGGTTCAGTGTGGTGGCAGCAGAGATACAGTGGGGAATTAGGGAAATGGGACAGAACAATGGGACAGAACATGGAGTTTACTTGCCACAGTGGTTGTAGACAATAAACAAGTCAACATGTGTGTGATAGTAAGTGCTAAATGGGTAATAAAGCAGGAGAGGGAATCAAGAGTAAAGGGGCTGTTTGATGGGACTGAGTGGTATTGAGCATGAGTTAGGAGTGGTGGGTGGAGGAAGGGAAGGGAGGCATAAAGGGTAGGCTTTAGGGTATGTGCTTAAGCCTTGGGATACTGGATATTGCCAGTGGGCCCGCTCCCCAGTGGCAGAGGAGCCTAAAACCATGCCATCAGATCTTGAGGGAAGAATCAGGTTAGTAGAAGTTTGCCTTGCAAGGAGACTGGAGGGAAAAGTTCTAATCAGTTTCCTAGAGGATGTGCCTTTGGGCAGTATTTATGGGATTGGGAAACAAAGGGTAAAAATGCAAGTTTGGGACCCTCCCTGTTGCTGCAGTGGGTTAAATCATAGCTCTGTGAAGCTAGCTGCTTCAACACCAACCTAGAGCCACAGCCACTTCAGCACGAGTTCGATTGCCCATCCAGGAGGTGACCCACACGGCGAGTAGACATCTCCTGTCTTACCCATTGCTCCCCTCAGCAGTGTACTTCATCAGTCTGCTGTTCTCCCCACTCTGTCTCTGGTAAATCCTCTCACCCTCT